AAAATAAGGAAGTGAATGAATACTTGAACAATACTGTTTTGGCATATGCTTGGTTGTTTGGGGTCAACTCTTAACCAACCAACCTATGCTGTTACAGATACATAAAGTACGTGGGTTAAAGCATTCAAATACGATATAACCATATATTCCTTAAGGAATAGAATACAGATATGAAATGCAAATCTTCGTCAAATATGATTATATATGGTTTCAAAGTGACAGAGTATAGTTTGATCGTACAGCCAAAATGAATATATGTAATTATATGATTATGAATTATTGTATGAATATGATCATAAATACCATACCGGAGGGACTCCAGGCGGAGTTTAAGTTAAACTCAGATCTTATCATATGGCATGAAATTCACAGTTTATATGTTAATAGTTAAGAATTGAGTTATCTTCCATAATTAAAAAAAAGCCGTTATGTCATACACTTACACGTTATTTCAAATTTCGTAATGACCCCTGTAATCGCTAGCCAGACCAGATCAGACTATCCTCAATATATTGAATGCCTATCAAATATATCTTCGAACGTCCTTGCTTCTGTCTTTTGGTTTCACTTGGTGGGTACGATTCATATTAAGTGTTACTGGTTAAAACGTTTTCGAACTCAGAATACCTGTGGCATCTTCAATGATATGTTTGTTTCGGATGGAAAATTTTACCAATGTGAAGTACAAGTTCTAGGTGAATTCAACACTAATTATATTTCGGATGATATCATATCAAACATCGTTTGTTTCCACAATTTAGTCTAAAAAAAACGACATTATTTGTACCCTAAGATATGAAGACCCGACATTATTTCGCGGGAGAGGATAGTGTTGGAAAGTCTATGTTGTGAATTCTAGATATCAATTATTTAAGTACACATAACTAACATGTTGATCATATACAATTACGGGAACCAAGTGAGTCTGTTCCCATTTCAGTTGTTAATTTTAACACTTATCAGCATATTCTAGACCATACAGAGTCTGTATCTAATGCACAGCCTGATGGACACACAATGAACCTAAGGAGACGTTCAATCGGTAACAGAAACTTAGATTCCAATTTAGGCTGTGGCAGTTGTGGTATTTGAGTTAAATAATGCTTCTTTTGTACTTGACTGTCTGCTGATTACGAATTCCATGCATAATACATTCATTTGTGTTCATCTAGTTCTTTTCACCTTAAACATAACCGTTTCGAAAATTCTTAGTACATTGACTTTGATACTTTTAATTATCATACCACACTACTAGGTGCATCTGAACTAGCCTTACCGACTTGAATATCAGACTACCCTTTTCATTCGGTAACTTCACAGACCATCAAAAAACCTTACTTGGAGAATACAAAATACGTATATACGAAGAGGTGGAATGGTAAGATTCGAAAAAGATGACTGCGTCGCCGTATGGGCTTATCCTATGATACCGACTAATTAATTAGTTATCAGTAAACTTGGCTATTTATTAACAACCATTCGACATTCACTTATCAGATTCACAATAAGGAACATGTTCAGATTGTGGAATCATTTTTCGATAGTTCATTGCCAGTTCACTTACTCAGTATTAGTAGTATGGAAAACACTATGGTTTGTGTGGTCAGTATTTATGGATACTAAAGACCACCTAAAATAAAAAGTATATTACAGAAATGTCCAAAAATGTGGAAAGAATATGCTAGGTTTTTGTCAATGTTAAATTAAATATCCTTTTCGTAATCCACATTAGTTCACAAGGCATAAACAAAAGATGTAAATAGTACTGAGTCGTTTATTCCTTTCACTTTTTGACCAAAATTCGATCAACAATCAAACGATCGTTACGGTAAATAAAACCCGAACTAAATATTTTTAAGTCTTCAGCACTGACACTGACGTCATCAGTTTCGCGCGACATGTCCTGGTTGAAGGCGCTCACAAGTGAATAAGCTGTGCTACGCATCTCTTACAACTACTAGCTAGCTTAGATCAAAAGCTTCTCTACGACCTATCTGCACATATCTTCGAACTCAATCATTCCTGACTTTGATTTAACTGAGTTGGTACCGTTAGGTTATAAAGGCAATGCGGACAGAAGCTCTGTCAAACTCAGAACATCTGCGTAATCTTTACGTTGAATGCTAATGCATACCACCGAAGTGTAGTTACTAAGGTTTTATAGAACATTTGATCAAAACGTTGAGCATTCAGACAACTATTTAAATAACTAGTTGAGAAAACGCATAGTTTTTGTTCTGTTAGATTCCAACTGTTTTTTGAAAAGAGCATAGGACGTTAAATAGTGTTCAAGTAACAGAAACAGAGTTGATCTCAGAATTCGTATATGTCAACATAATAACATTATGAAAACAAGTGAGGAGAGAAATTGCCATGGAATTCTAGGACAGTGAAGGGAATCCCAAGGCTAAGTCGATAATTATTTGTATGAAATTCTACAGGAGAATAAGGTAAAGGAAATAATAGTACAATATCATATTGTATCCCAACACTATTAATTTTGTTATCTTACTATTTCGATAATGCAATGAGAAGACGTAATTTATCAGAATTATGTGATATATTTGCGCAATACATTTCGAACAATCTGATCACACATATACTTGTTAAGAACATTTATATATGAAAAATTAAAAGGTCAACTAGACAGGTTAAGGGTAAGTCATAACAAAGGAAGAATATTAAAGTACACAAAAACAAATGTGATTACCACTCTGGATAGTAAATCAGTACTACCAGGGTAGGTTAAGTGTAATTACAAATTGTTTTTGAACACATAAAGGGGGTTTCAATTTCCGTATAGCCAAGGCTTCAATAAACCTTAGTATACGTCCTTGAAGGCTTTTGTACAATACAACAAATGCTGATTTGATATCAACCTTATGACCCGTCTCAATCAAATGTTTCACAATGGATGATGATGTCTGTCTATCCTGTGATCTTATTTCACCATTGGGATTCATCTGATTCTGCAACCAGTTTGGTATATGTTCACCCACCCTTAATTGCAAATCACGATTGCTCCTCCCTACGTACGTGTTTCCACACATACATGTAAATTTATAGACACAATGGGATGTGACACAATCGTATTCATGCTGTTTGGGCTTTTGGTGAAACATAGACCTTGTCTTTTCGATAATAACAAGTTGCGCTGCATAAAATGTCCGGTTGATAGCTAATTTAAGTCTCTGTTTCAACATGAGACTATTTGTGTCACCTCTGAATGGTAGCGTAATATAAACTCGCTTTTTGGGTGCCAGAAGTGTCATAGGTCTAGGCATATTGCAACCCTTCCAGCGGTTTATGAACTTCAAAGGGTAACCATTATTAATTAACGCATCAGTCAAGAGCTTCATCTCTACTTCAATAGTATCACTAGTACAAATACGATTGATTCTATTGAATAAGCTCTTTATTAAACCGCGTTTATAATGAATAGGACAGTGACTATGAAAACGATATGTAGATGACATCATAATCATAGGTGATAAAATTGAAGACATAAGCTGCTTGTTAGAAGAATTTAATAGTAGTCAAAAGCACATTTCTCTTACATGTGAAGAAGAGAAGAACAACCAACTTCCTTTTCTTGACATCCTGATTACTAGGAGAGATGATGGCTCCATCAAACGTGCTACATATAGAAAACCAACATGGACAGGACAATATCTCCTATGATTATGATGTCATCTACATATCGTTTTCATAGTCACTGTCCTATTCATTATAAACGCGGTTTAATAAAGAGCTTATTCAATAGAATCAATCGTATTTGTACTAGTGATACTATTGAAGTAGAGATGAAGCTCTTGACTGATGCGTTAATTAATAATGGTTACCCTTTGAAGTTCATAAACCGCTGGAAGGGTTGCAATATGCCTAGACCTATGACACTTCTGGCACCCAAAAAGCGAGTTTATATTACGCTACCATTCAGAGGTGACACAAATAGTCTCATGTTGAAACAGAGACTTAAATTAGCTATCAACCGAACATTTTATGCAGCGCAACTTGTTATTATCGAAAAGACAAGGTCTATGTTTCACCAAAAGCCCAAACAGCATGAATACGATTGTGTCACATCCCATTGTGTCTATAAATTTACATGTATGTGTGGAAACACGTACGTAGGGAGGAGCAATCGTGATTTGCAATTAAGGGTGGGTGAACATATACCAAACTGGTTGCAGAATCAGATGAATCCCAATGGTGAAATAAGATCACAGGATAGACAGACATCATCATCCATTGTGAAACATTTGATTGAGACGGGTCATAAGGTTGATATCAAATCAGCATTTGTTGTATTGTACAAAAGCCTTCAAGGACGTATACTAAGGTTTATTGAAGCCTTGGCTATACGGAAATTGAAACCCCCTTTATGTGTTCAAAAACAATTTGTAATTACACTTAACCTACCCTGGTAGTACTGATTTACTATCCAGAGTGGTAATCACATTTGTTTTTGTGTACTTTAATATTCTTCCTTTGTTATGACTTACCCTTAACCTGTCTAGTTGACCTTTTAATTTTTCATATATAAATGTTCTTAACAAGTATATGTGTGATCAGATTGTTCGAAATGTATTGCGCAAATATATCACATAATTCTGATAAACTACGTCTTCTCATTGCATTATCGAAATTTATCAAAGGGACTAATTGTTTTAAATATCTTACTATTCTTACGTTAAAAAGTGACCCGAAAAACTTTTGTACAGCTAGAATCACTATGATTTATATAAATTTCATTTTCCTCAGCATAAACAGTTAGGCTCAGTCACTGTAGGTTTAATTTTGTTTGAATTGTTGCTTTCAGCTGCCCTTGCGCTTTAGACAAATGCTGTTTTTCTTCGCTTTGTTTTGGACCCGTTTATTTATTGTTCACCAAACATCGAAAGCAGAATAGCAAATTTTATACTATTGAAAATTCATCCTAAAGTAGTCGCTTAACATCAGTAATTCGAGAAATACGTATCCAGCCAAGTTATCTAAAAATGAGCTTGACTTCCAGAATTACTGGTGGTACTGGCTCAGGCGTCAACCACAATGTTGCAAATCCAGCTCCAAAATTATCTGGGAATCTTCCTCCTACTCAAGATCCAGCTCCCGTGGTTAACCATTCAAGCTCCACACGATGTTCCAGTGGGGCCTTGATGAGTTTATTAAACAGTGGATTGTCTGTTCCTCGTCAAATGATGGTTCAGGCACGCGGTGCACAAGATAATCAGCATATTCCTATACATTTGAGCTTTGTGGGAACTATTGGACAGGGGACATTTGGACAAATTGAGAGGGCTACTCTCACTGTCCCAGCAACATCTTCAGGCACACCAGGCAAAAAGAATTCCGATGCCGGTGCTTTTTCTGATGGGGGACAAAGTTTGCAAGTCGCCGTTAAGCGTGTCTTGCAGGACCCTCGCTACAAAAACCGTGAGCTGAGTATTATGCAACGCCTTAACAACCATCCTAATGTTGTGAAGTTCTACTACTACTATTACTCGACAGCGTCGTCAAATAGTCGGGGCCATAGGAGTGGTGGTGGACGAGCAGGCGCATCTACATCGGGTGTAGATGTGTTCTTACATCTTGTACTGGAATGTTTCCCCGAGAGCTTATGTGAACTTATCTACCGCTATTCCCAAAGAAACCTGAAAATACCAGCTTGTACAGTGAAGGTTTTTACGTATCAGATGCTCAAGTCCCTGGCTTACTTACATAGCCATCAAATATGTCACCGTGATATCAAGTCGTCCAATTTACTAGTGAATGAAGATACTATGGTTTTGAAAGTGTGTGACTTTGGAAGTGCTAAAGAAATGGTGCCGGGAACTGCTAATGTATCTTATATATCCTCTCGGTAAGTCACCACATTCTTTGTTTGTCTGAATAAATTCTGATACTAGTTCCTAATTAATGTGTTTCTAGTGATAAGCCACTGTAACTACACTGTATTTTGTTATTATATTAAGCTGAGCTCATCTATATCTTGAGTTCTCGTGTCCTTTACTGTGCTCCATCAGGCGGAGCTGAAGGGCTTGACAAATTGATTATCCAGTTATAGAAGTTAGCTGACATCTCAGATTTGTAATTGGACGTAATCTTATCAAACTGTTCTTTAGGTTTTATATAATGTCAGACTCAGCCACACTATCCATGAATAATATACATCTATGGTCGTAGTCCAATTCCCCTATTTATTGTATAAACTTGGATAATAATACTCAATGTATAACCGTAGAAGATCTTAGTAACTAGTCGTTCAGTCTTAAACTTGCTTTATCCTTTTTGTCTAAGTTTTGAATGTCTTGCATTCTTACTTCCTACTTGATGCCTAAACGCCATCACATCGTAGGTCAGTAATAATGGCTTCTTAGTAGTTAAACTGCCTTCCATCGGTCTGACAAGATTAGGAACTGGAATCCTCTTTTAAAGTTATTTCTAAAGTCCATTTGCGTCCTGAACGCTATTGACGAAGTTATGGCCAACCCCGGCCGGACGAAATCTAATAAGCTTGTTGTTCTACTTGAGCATTGTTTAATAAGCACTGCTCATTCATTTATCGTATGAAGTTTCTATCTCTACAGTGCTGTCATTTGGTTGCGGGGAGCACTCTCTATGCCCTATTTTACCAAACGATTTGTCCATAAAATAATTGTTCCACTGGTCGTATGTCTTCTGTTAGGTATCTGAAATTTTAATTACGGATCAAAATGATACGATCCTCAGTTCCGACTTGGTGCCACGTCTACCCGAGTGACACATCAATGATGTCACTCATCTATTAGGTTATTAAGTATTTTCATGGTCTTATTAACTAGTAAACGATCACAGCCGATTTCTCTTCAAGGTCACTTTTCATAATCTCCATCATTCACACACAATCGCTTGTTGTTCTGTATCCTCATTAACTGCGCTTATAATATGTGAGACGTTTCAGCATACGCATTATAAGATAAATAACATTTGAACCACTAGTTTGAGACACAGCCTTTACATCATGATATCGATTTCTGATCAGTACATTGTAATAGTCAATGATGATGTTTTCCATAATTGGGTCAATAACTGAACCCTGGTCTTGCTTTCCGTTCGGCATCCTGAAAACAGACTGAAAAGGCTCATGTGTTAACCGCATATTTTACTGGGGAACTAAAGCTAACTACATGAAAGTAGGGGCGATAGGTAACTGCCTAGACTCATTAAGGTAACAATTATTACTCAGTAAGTCTATAGTAGAACTTTCTGACGAAAATGGATTGGTGATTCGCTCCCACTTCACAATTTTGGAGTGGTAACTGAAATACTCTAAGGATCAGGTCAACTGCTCTACAACTACTCTTCAATTACTTTCTATTTCCATACAACCTGAGTAAGAGATCAATCCAAGTCTGGTAGCTCTTACCAAGGTTTGAAAAGACTAAATCTAATTTGAAGTGATAGGAATCAATGGTCTGATAAATTGAAGTTTTAGAGGATGGTAATCCAGCTTTAGAAGTTGAGTTGCTTGGGATGTGAGCGTAATTCTAACTTACTGATCTTGATTGTTAATCATCATAGTTCCTAAAGAGGGCAAAAATTCTGTTGCGAAGACCGTATACGAATCAATTTGTCTAATATATGAAACATTAACCTCAGTAATTATTCAGTGGGTGAATAGAACCTAGGAATAGCAAACTTGAAAGAACCAGGTGGATTTATGATCTAATAGTAGATATATAGACTGGATCTATACTCTCCGTCAGGTTTTAAAGTAGTCATATCAACACCCAAGTTTAATTGTATCTGTTATAGTCTCTTCTTACGGTTATGACCCAGCTATTCCTATTGCTTAGTATTCTCGGACACCGATTCACTCGACAAGTCCCCAAATCAGAACACAGTTGAACAGGAAAGAGATTATATTCCAAATAACAAGGTTAGATGGAAGTAAGATGCCAGTAAGAAGCACAATAGGGAAAAACGTCAGTATATTTATAGTTTTTTACATGAGAAGATTCTAGAGTATTCTCCAACTATCGACTAGTGCTGATTGGATAGGAATTAGCCAATCAGCGTGCACCAAAGCAATCGTGCATTGAGCTTGCTTTAATCCAGTCTATGTCCCACTAACAGTATCTCTCTACCCAAAGACAGCATTCGGTTCCATTATAATAACTACGTAAAATGTTTATTTGTGGAAATTATATTTGAAATAATCCCAGTGATTGGAATTTAAACGATTCCAACGTTTCGTCCGGCAACCTTGTCTGGACTTCTTCAGGATAATAATCAAGATCAAAATTATCGAAGAATATATGTTTAACAATCAAATCAAATCTTTACTATGCTTATCTAGTCATATCTTAATGTTGATTTTAGTAAGTTGGATAATATGAGCCATGTGAACCATTTGAAAAGTTCAGTGTGATGATAAATGAGTGATTGTGTATGCGTATGTATGAGTATATTTGAGTTATCAATAGCTGATGTTAATTCGTTTTTAGATGAAGTAAACAAAAAATTTGTCTCGAGTTTAAGTGACCAAACAAACATACCTCAGTCACTTGTAAGTTTATGTAGTTGAGTATACGAGATGTATTTTTATAAGAGTGCTAGCTGGTTGCCAAATCTTTTTACTTGAAGAGGTTAGTCATTTGTAATCAACATAGTTTAGCACGAATATGTTTGCTGAAGTTGCCATACAACATCAGTACGGCGATGTGAAGTTAGGAGAAAAAATAGCTGGAGCCCAAATAATAGTGGTGTGGGTGATATTAAGAATGATTAAACATTGGAGAATATGGCATATACTTGGAGAAAGGTCCATGATTCTCATCTAGTGACTGTGATTCGAAAAATTAAATTAACTCAGTAGAATTTATGCCCAACTAGTTTCAGTTAAACATTATTCGTTATGTAGTATTGATTTCAGTAATCCAATAATGTTTCGTTTTTCAAAATCCAAGTTAGATATGTGCAGATACCGAATTAATATTCCTTACCAAACATCCAATTTAGGTCTAGCTATGTTGTTTGAAGACCATAATATTTTATGACTGATTCAACCTTGATTAGTCATGCAAAACTAAAATCCAAAAATTCGAGTTAAACAGCCGCACAACCAGCTTGTGTTTTGTGAGGGTAAAGCACATATCATTGATGGTCAAATTTCTGTTCATGGTTTCTCAAGGACCTTTTAATTCATTTTCTTATGCTCTCTTTAAATCGACCAGTATCTCTATACGAAATGAATTAAGCTCAAAAGCATTGTACTTTGTTAGTCGATAAATGCCCTCTCATACCATGCACCACTCATACAATTATTACCTCTACGGTTCTGGGATTCTGTCTAGCTGTGCTAATCGGGTATGGCAACTTGAACCAATGTACATACGTACGGGTTCTACGTTGTGACTGACCGATTTAGGTGTTTGTTATGTCAGACATTTTTAAGTTATCTTGAGAGGATTTTCACTACTTACAGATAATCAGCTATTGAAACTGGTCCGAAAATAAGTCGTTTGACTTCTTTATAAATTCCTTACAAATTTACCAGTCTTGTTAATTTCAATCAGTTTGTAATTCACTAATTGCATGTAAAATGTTCTTACAACCTTGTTGGGTTCACTACCATACAATACCTATCTTTATCCAGTGTTCAGTTGATGATAACTGTTAAATGATATTTCTCTCCTTGTTGTTGATGGTTTCAGTAACCAAGATCAACAAGTTCCCCAAGTTCATATGTAATAAGCAATTATGGAAATTATCAAGACACTTATCTCCAATCAAACGTGCTTGCACGTTTTATAGTCTCAGCTTATCCAAACAATATTTATTTTATATCTCGGCAATGAATTTTGTTTGGTTAGGATCTCTCAGTATGATGAAGATTAAAACATCACCAAACACCACCCTAAACCGTTATCATTTATTATTTTTGTGCTGTTTTTTTTTACTTATTTTCGATCGAAATAAGATTTATCTTGTCTACTTTGTAGTTTGTACCGTACCCTCTAATGTTTCTGTTTCTGCTCTTAACGTGTAGACAAAATTTAATATCTCATTTTATCAAAACCATATCATATCAGTTGTGTGGTACATCCCTCTGCTTTTCCACTTGTATATCTATGCTTATTACTATCTTCCTAGATATATAGTTAAGCTTGTTTATCTGAAATAGCACATCCATAGATTGAAAATGTATAATGTTATTTAGTAGATCACGGTTTCTGATTTGAGTGTAAATACGTATGCACTCAAAGACTGAATCCATCGATCCTATTACTCAGTCAAAGCAAAGTAGATGAATATGTAGCATTGTTAGTTTTTCTAAAGTATTTACTTCTTTGATAATGACCACATATGAATGTTGCTCGGGTTGACGCATCAAACATGCCCAATAGTTCAGTTTTGTTGACAAACAAAATAATGTTTCTATCCTGACGTGAAATCTTCAATTCAGGAATACATAGTTTTGAAATGTTCAATAACTTGATTAGTTTATATGTCCTTTTATTTGTCCTCTTTACAAATGCATGTGCACCTAAGTATGTACTATCAAAATTTTACTTCCTTTTTGTTTTATCTGATAAGTACTTTGAATGATCCTACCAGATATTGAATTATATGCATACGTATGTAGCATTGTGAAATCGATTTAGCAGTGATGTACTTTAAATAGGCCCTTTATTGTCTTTATCGTTCGTGTTTTATTGACTTCTTGGTGTTCTATTACTATATTTTCCGCATACATCAAAAGACTATGCAACTTGCTGAATACACACTTATAAGCACTTAAAGGCTTTTATTTTTTGTATCTTTTTAGGGGAACAAAATACTTTTCTTTTGTAATGTTTACTTATATATGCAAAACGATTGATTTATATTTATGATCCTTCAAAGCATTTTAGACGTTTGATCCAAACAAAATATATTACGTGGTTGGAAATAGTCGATAGGGTTTCCTTCAACCACCTAACATCTCAAAATAGACCAAACAATATCGAATCACTTAGACTCGTAGACGCATGCACCTTGATTAATAGCATTAAAGAACTGGACAAACATGAAGATTGTCATTAGCTTAGTGATCAATCAGTTGTAAATTAAGTGTATCTAAAACTTTGAATCTTCCACATCTAGAACCTCAACACTTCGATGATTGTAAACGCTAAATGCCGTGACTTATGGCAAACCATTGTATGTAGTACTCATTATGTACCCTCCTCCCTCTCAGATTCTACCACTCTACTTGTTTCCGTGTTGACTTGGCGATTAAAGAACTCGACTCTTGATCACTCAGTAGCCTATTCGGTTATGGGGACCGGTTAGTATCATTAGTTTTCACACTTTGATTTTGGTTCATATCCAAGTACCTGAAGAATGAATTAATCTAATCTGCAAAAACAGTCCTGATCAATACTTATCCGATGATAAATTTTTCTATATTGACTTGATTGACGTGTTCATTTTGAAACACCGGTGTTATCATTTTGTACAAACTTCCACAATAATTATTTATTGATGCTGAAATTCGTTGAAAAAAGTGAAGTGGTCAGCTTGTGATATGGTTCTCTGGCATGACAGAAACCTATGTTGAACCAACATCTGTCAACCTATCACAACTAAACAGTGTAGGTCCTAGAAATCGTACAATTTGATGATTCGAGATTTTATCCGACATGGCTCAGACTAGAGTTCAGTAATTATTATACTGTAGACTCCTATTATAGTCTTCATAAAAATGAGGTGATGTTTAGATGAAAAATTCTTCCTAAACTGTATTTAGACGAGTTGTTGAAAGAGACATTCTTGCACATGTATTTGTGGATTGTACGACCTTCCCCTCTTTTCTGCACTATCTTATCACTTCACCTACTGTCACCTTTTTCGGTGCCCTGTTGTACCTTCATTCATATGAGTCTTAGTTACAATACTAATTGCTACTTTGTTGCATAGAATTTTTATTAAATGGCTCTCTGTTTATATCTTTATTGTCGAATGTTTGTTCTATCGTTCAGGTATTATCGTGCTCCGGAGTTATTATTTGGAGCTCAATATTATTCTTGTGCGATTGATACTTGGAGTGGGGGGTGTGTACTGGCTGAAATGTTACGTCAGCATTGTTTGTTCATGGGAGCTGATTCAGTAGATCAACTGGTTAAAGTTATTCGCGTTTTAGGCACTCCTACTCCACAAGATATTTCCAGTATGAATCCAATGTATGGATCTTACAGTTTCCCAGATGTTCAATCCTGCCCTGTAAAACTGTTTTTCCCACAACATACTCCAGCCGATTTATTGGCTCTAATGAGCAAAATGCTTGTTTATAATCCATCACTGAGAATTTTACCATCTCAAGCTCTTTCCGAACCATGTTTTGATGAACTTCGTTCTATCGGTCCAAATGGAGTACTTTCGAACAGAGTTCGTATGCCTCCACATATCTTTGATCCTGATCCCGAACCTAATCCTCCTACATCAGTAACAGATGGGACAAATTTATCAGCGTATAACAATTGGTTGCCAGAACATCATAAGCATGGCTCATCCAATAAGAAACCGACCACCAGTGTGGGTGATTTGCAAGGTTCCGATAAGAAAAACTGTAAACCACCATCAAATTCTCGAGAAATTCCTGCTGACTGGCAGCGAAAAGGTATGTTTTTAATGCAGATAAATAAACGTGTTTTAATCGTTTAATAGTTAATCAGTGTTTAGTTTGAAAATACGTTTTTTCTATGAATACATTCTTTCTCTTAGTAATATTTATTTTGCCATGCTGCATGAGATGTTACTTGTACCGATGCAAAAGTGTTAGATTCTACGTTGGTGTTTATTTGTTCATTTATTTAAACACAAATGTTGGTACAATGAGGTACCAAATATATATGCTCCACACAAATCAGATTATTTGTATGAGGGCTGAAATACTGCCCGGGTGCTCAAACCGAAGCAGATGGTTTTCAACGAGCCCTTGACCTAGAGGTCTGATCCACAAGGCAGTAGAACATCGTCAGGAGATGCAGCCCCATGGTAGCCGGTGACCAACAGTAGGTTTATGCTCCATCTGTTCCCATGTTCATTATTAGTTTGGAATTATGGTTTCCCAACTCCCATAGATGGATCCTTCAATATTCGCTTTTCGTCCTCTCAATTTCGTAGGCAGTGAGTAAGACTTCCATGTCAGTGTTTATATACACCTGGCCATATGAGAGCATTCAGAGAGAGAGAGAGAGAGGACTCTCCACCTTCAATCATACCAGGGCATTTGGGAGCTGTTGAGTATATGAAAGCGTTTATTTATTTATTTGAACACATAAATATTGGTACAAGAGGGCACCAAATATATATACGTCACACAAACTATAAGAATAGGGGGAAAAAAGAAGGTAAGGAGTGTGAAAGAAGAAAAAGAAGGAGAATGGCGACCAGATTAGTGCAAGGTAGTGTAATAATAGTAATGGGGGAAACGGAAAGGTAGAACCAGAGGAAATCTTTTAGATAAAAAGGAAACAACTATTTTTTATGGAAAAAGTAAAATAAGGTTACAGAAGGGTCGCCGCTGGCTTCTATTCTGAGCCATATCTGATAACGTCTCTAGCCACTGTGTTGGACCATACCTAGGACCCCAGCCAGGGAGTCGTGAAGGACCAAACCAAGCCAGCCATTTGCAGCTTTCTTTTACACTACGACGCCATGTCATACACTGACCACCTCCCCGCTTCTTCCAACCAGTCCCAGTGTCGGCAAATAATGCACGACGCGGAGTTCTCTGGGACGACATTCGCAGAACATGTCCAAGCCACCGAAGTCGGTGTTTCAAGATGGTGACACCAATCGCATTATCGTCTCTGTGCCTGAACACATGATGCCGAACCTCTGCATTACTGACATGGTGTTGCCACTGAATATCAGCAATCCTTCGGAGACAGCGATGATCGAACACAGAGAGTCGTCTAACGTCCTCAACTCGGAGAGGCCAGGTTTCACAAGCATAGAGCAAAACTGCTCTCACCGACGCGTTGTAGATCCGACCTTTTACAGCCAGACTAACATCACGAAGGCGCTAAAGATGGCCCAGATTAGCATAAGCCGCTCTGGCTTTCACTATACGTGCATTGATCTCACCACTCACACCCCCATCAGTACTTATGCAGCTACCCAGATACACGAACTTCTCGACTACTTCTGTCTGCTCACCATCCAGAGTGAGTACAGGATTGGAATCCTGCCAGTCTTGTAGAAGGTACTTTGCACTTCGAAGGTGCAAAGCACATACCATACCTACGGACACTGATTGCAAACTGATTAAGTGCGGATTGCATGCCTTGGGCATTATCGCACAGTAAAACGATATCATCTGTATACTCAAGATCGAGAAGTCTTTCTCCAGGCAACAGATCCACACCGCCATTACTTACATCCATCAGAGCTGTTTCCAGAATGTCATCGATGGCAAAGTTGAAGAGAAATGGTGAGATTGGGCAACCCTGCCTAACCCCATTGCTCGAATGGAACAATGGAGAAAGGTGCTTGTATGCCCTCACTCTACCCATATGAAAGAAACATCTAAATCATTGAATTATAAGACACCATGATGTATCAAAGCAGTACATCAACCTTGTATCGACTACTCAAACACTACTGGTTGGGTTAGAACTTAAGCCGATATGTTATCAGAATTGTCTAGGTTGTCCACTTTCTCCACTTTTATCTAATTTCTTCATAGACATTCTCCTAGAGATAAGGCCCTCATCGTCTGACGTTTTAGGGGTTGACCTAGAGATCCACTTATCGACTTGAAATACACAGACGGCACGGTCCTGTCCTATTTATTGATTCACTCATTCACCACGTACTTGGGTATGAGCTGATTTTATTATCTGGTTGCCTAAACCAAAGTTGGTCAAGCTAAATATGAACCTAGTACTTAGTAGCTGAAAGTCTAATGACTTAACCATGAAGTCACTATCTAAACGACCAACGACAAGTATTTTCGTATTCATATAAATCGTACATCGTAATTCTAGGTTTTTTTGTTTATTATTTAGGTCGAGCTATCGGATCTAATAATTCATCAGAAAAATGTGGGTCGGTTATTGCTGGTGGTGGTAGTCATCCAAACCTGGAATCAAAATCTGACGAATTAACCGGGAACAGTAATGGTGTAAATAATGATGCTTCGAGTAGACAACAACAACACAATCGAACTATTAATGAGAATAATCTTAAAAGTCCAATCGATACAACAAAAGCTGGGACGGCGACAACAGGTGATGTTGGTCATCCAAGTCAAATAGAAAATCCCGATGTTTGTTGCAATGATAATGAAAACAATATTAATAATAATAATAATAGCATTACTACAAACGTACACTTAAAATCATTTGTGCCTCCTACTCATCCCAACTCTTCTGAACAACGGACAAATTTAAGTGAAGTACACTAGATGGATAGATAGATCGACATAAACATTTGCACAAAAATCCACATTACAACATTCATAGTGTAATTATTTCTTGTCATTTGATATATCCTGCACACTGAGTCATTTCATTGACGATCAGCCTCAACATTAGCGTCACTTGGTTATCTTTCTGTTAACTAACAAATTATTTCTTGTGAGGATAGTAGTACTTCGTAAATAAACAATCACCTTTCCTCTCTCCCTGTCTGCGCCCAATTACTCGTCGAATTACTTTGATTTCTTCGTGTATATGTGTGTATGTTTGTTTAGAAAAAGCCCACAATAAAGGAGGTCAACTAAATTACACCATAGTCTTTTATTGTTATTGTCGTTAAACAAAGTTTCTCTCTCTTTATTACAAAACACTTACTGTGACATGATTATCTTCCCGACTGTTAGTTTTTCTTCCAAAAAATAATGGATATTACAATTCACATAATTTTTTTTGTTTATCAATTTATGTAAGTAGTTGAGTGTAGACAACAAAATATCGAATAGTATTGTGTTGTATCCATTGTTTATTGTTTCAAAACTGTAGAACCTTTCTCTTCTATCAATTTTCTTCTCACTTCTTTTTCTGATTAATATGATTCCAAGTAATAAGTTTACCTCATAGGAACAATCTCTCCTGGGTTTTTTCTCTCTCCCATTTGTCTGTGTTTATTTTTTACAATTAGAATTAGTTATGTTATATAACATTATTATGTATTTTCGTAACTACTTTAACAACCCATTAATTAATATGTAAATATATATATATATATACATATATGTGTTCATTCAGTTTACGACTTCTTTCTTGATTGTTTCTTTTTTCCCATTCATTACACCGTGTTCCGAGGTCCCTTTCTTCCATTCTACAATCTGTTCATTTTTTTTTATCTCCTACTTTATCCCATCTCTTATTTCATTATTATTCAGGATCATTTCTTTAGGTGTATGTTATTTATTCATCTCAATTCGTTGTGTTTTAGTTCTCTTCATAGGAGAAGAAAGAAACAGGCTTACAGAGTGGTAGTAAAATATTTTTTGTCCATTTTTTTATTTAAAATTTTAGATCTTGGTTGCTGTCTATCTACCAGTTCGGCAATATATATATATATATAGTTCAACTGAATTCCTCTCTTCAATTGTAACACTTCTTTGTTCCATTTTTTTTTTTAAAGAATAGAATATTTCATGTCAATATAATAATAAGTAAAACCCTATACATTTCTTGATCTGATTAGTTACAGTTTTATAGATGTTAGGCAATTACATGTTGATCTCCTTTTATATTAAATATATTCTCATATTGTAATCAAACCTTATTCGATATAAATTGGGGGGGGGGAGGACGGAGAAGAAAAAAGAAAGATAATTGATTGATCGATCGATTATGTCGCAATATTTGTACTTCCATTTTACAATGATATCAATATGAATTGCATGTTCTATACAGAAGTATCTATATGTGTAAAGGTGATTGTTTTGTGATTTTTTTGTTTCTATTTCCTATATCTTCTTTACTGCTTATTTATTCATTTTATAAACACAAACACACACACACACACACCCTTGTATGTAACAATTACACTGTTCTTTTTTTTTTAAAAGAAAAAATTCTATTGAATTAAATTATCTGATTTTTCATTGTACTTTTTTTCCCGTTACAAAAAGAAGTTGTATTTGAGTTCTTTTGTTGTTGTTGTTGTTGTTTTAAAAAGAAAATGGAGTTAGGATGAATTATGAGATTGTTTTTGGATTGTTTTGTATTCAATAAATTACCATACCAACTAAACGTATAAGTTAAAGAGAGAAATAAATTTTACTTTTTTAATTATATAAGAACGTTGTAAAACAACAAACAACATAATGAATTGTGTGGTGTATATGTTTTGGCCATAGATTAGAATTGTTTGTTTGTTATTGTTTGAATTTTCTTTTGGTTGCTGTGTATCTTATCAGCATTTTTCTGTCGTTGTTGTTGTTGTTATTGCCTTCATTGGTTTATTTTATTTCTTGAGATTTTTTCTGATTAACTAAACTGGCATGCGTATATACACGATGGTGTAGTATGTAGGCAACGTTTGTATTGTCCATGTCGTGATAGTGTTTAATTCTCTTATGGATATGTATGTCTGTATACATTATCTATGTATGTTAAATTTGATGAAGATGAAGTTGGTAGGGTAATTTCTTTTTTTTCTTTTTTGAGAATAGTTTTATATATGTGTAGGAACGATTTGTTGTCTGTAGGTTTTCTCTTTCTATTCCCTTTCATGTACTTCTGTTTCACATGTAGTATAAACGTTTTTTTTCCTTTCAGTTTATTAACTTGTGTTTTATGACTTTTTAATTGTTGGTCTTTATGAAGATTCCTAACGTTTGTATTATTATTATTATTACTGATATATGTACTTGCAAAATGTACAAGATTATTTGTTTTGTTTTTATTCATGTGTTTACTTTATTCTCTCTTCATTTGTGTGTGTGGCAAAAACGAATACATAGATATGAACACCTACTTGTCTTTATATCTGGTCTACGTATCATTATTTATTATAAGAATGTCAAGTTGATATTGTCAAATATGAGTAATGTTGTTTATCTTCCATTGTGTTAAGTTCTCAGGAGTATTTTATTGTATGTTTGTATGTGTTCTTTTATTTTACATGAGTAAAAATAATTCGGTATCTTCCTTCCTTCTTCTTCTTCTTCACTAGATGATTGAATTTCTTTTACATCATTTAATGTCATTTTCTGATCATATTTTGTATGTGTACATCTAAATAAGAGAAAAATAAATCGACTTCCTTTTGTTCTTCCTCTTCTTGTAATCATTTATTTGATTCCCTTCTTTATATGTTCTATTCTAAAATATATATATAAAGGAAGTAAATAATGTTTGTCTTATAGTAAATTGGTTTTATTGTATGTTATCAGTTTGTTTGTTTGTTTATTCCTTTTCATTCTTCTTGTATCGCTCAATTGTTTAGAAACATTGAATAATTTAAGCGTAATATACCTCTCACTCACTCACAAACACATATACACTCTCTACCTACCTACCTATCTATCTATCTATCTATCTGTCACTTTCTCAGTATATATTGTCAAAGAAATTATTTTGACCAATAATTTGTTTATAATAAACGATATACCATATATATGCCTAACTAGTAAAAGATCAACTATGCATTCTATAATGATAGACAAGATTTCGTTAAATATCATTACAATTGATAATACTATTTGTATATTTGAATATACAATAAGAATAATAGATCATCAATCAATCAGTTATTGCTTTCAATAAAGTTTCCTACTTTATAATTTGTATGTCATAGATATACATTTTATAGATATATATTGTTATCATTATTCTAAAGGATTTAATTATCGATTAGTATGTTATGTGTTTATCTACATGAATAGTAAGCATTCATAAAGAAGTACCCAAATTGACTATATATATATATATATATATATATATATATATATATATATATATATATATATATATATATATATATATATATATATATATATATATATATATATATATATATATATATATATATATGGATGTATAGTTCATATTGTAAATAATCATAATAATATAGATATGGACATTTATGTCTCATTTTTAAATGATCGGAACATTTACTATTTTAGTCTGATCTACTGAACATAATTTTCATTGATTAGTTGTTTTAGTTATAAGTAATGTAGAACTTGATATTTATGTACATCGGCTTAAATTGATATATGAACAGTATGTCAAACAATTGCATACAACCTCTCCTAACTTGAAAAAAAAGAAACACGAAATATCTTAGTAGAATAACATGAATTCATTTCACAGGTTGGAATCATGAGTCAGTTGAAGCTAGACCACCATCGAAAACCTGGAAGCATTGGACGGCCGTTTCGCCCTGGTATGGGACTCTTCAGCTGTGCGCATCCACGATCCCGCACCACGCGGGGCTCGAACCCAGGACCTACTGGCTTCGCGCGCGAGCACTTAACCACTAGACCATTGAGCCGGCATCCAACGGTGTTAATGTCTAACTTCAACTAATCCACGAAGTTGCGCCACCGTACACCATTGTCTTCAGTGAGTTGTTATTTCACAACAGAACGGTTAAACTCTACTGGTAACGGCTTCTCACTAGAACTCCAGGAGTTTTTCCTGAAGTCAGTCACTAGTGAGCAGTTTATTATTATCAGAATGGGAGGAGTTCCATACCAGGACGAAACGGCCGTCCAGTTCTTCTAGGTTTTCATTGGTGGTCTAGCTTCAACTGACTCATGATTTCAACCTGTGAATGCATTTATTTCGTTGATTCTTTTTAACTGTTTACAAATTCCAAAACGAAATTGAGGGGACGAAAAGCGAAAGTCCGGTGCTTTGACCGGGTTAGTTGATATGAAGGACCTACCTAGGGGAGTTGGGAAACCCTGATTCCAAACTAATGATGCACTTGGGCTGCAGGATTCTGAGGGAACAAATGGGGTATGAACCAATCGTTGGTGACCGGTTACCATGAGACTGCATCTCTTTACGATGCTCCACTGCCTTATGGATCGGACCTTTATGTCGAAGGCTCCGGGTGCGTGTCTGTAAGAAAGCCATCTACTTCGGATTTGGTACCCGGGCTGTATCACAGCCCACACACAAATCAAGTGACTTGTATGGCGTATATGTATTCAGTGCCCATTTGTGTTCAAATAAATTAAAACAAATATACATAATTTATATCAGAAATATTTTAAATGATTTCGCCACTTCAACAACATGTCTATCATCGAGCAATTGCACTATTGTCCGTTTTTGTGGAGTACGTTCGGAGATGCGGATGCAAACCTTTCTTTCTGTTCTACTGATGTATGCGCTTTCTCACGTACCTGTAAACTGCTAAATACAATTAGGGGTAACATAAAGCGGGTATTTGTCCACATTTGATTATCTCAATGAGCATATACTTTAATATAGCGTC